TATATATATATATATATATATATATATATATATATATATATAATCTCCTAGAAATCAATTTTAAAAAGGCAGGCAACCCATTCAAAAATAGACAAAAGATTTGAAAATAGGTATCACAAAAAAACGTATCACAAAAAAACATTTAAAATGTTCCTCAACATCATTAATCACCAGAGAAATGAAAATTAAAACCACAATGAGATACTCTTTATCCACAAGTATGACTAAAATTAAAAAGGCTGACAATACAAGCTATTCCAAGACTAGAGAGCACCTACGACTCTCCTATATTGCTGGTAGGAGAGTAAATTGCTATGAGCAATGAAAAAGTGAAAACTACAGATACATGCTGCAACATGGATGTATATGTCGTGTAAAAGAAGTCATACACAAAAAGGGTATACAACAAAGTTACCATTTGGTTAATTTATAAAATAACTTATAATTTAAAGCCTGCCTGGAGAAGCAGGATTTTCAGAGCTATTTTCAGTAACAGTTTTGAACTTCCACAACACTACATCCAAGTATATGGAATGACTGTAAAATGGATGCCTTCATTTCATGAGTCCTACTCCTATTTCTCGACTATCATAGGACCAACAGAAATGCAGTCGTGCCTCTCAAGCAACAGCTTTTTGCCTCTAGCAATTTTCTCAAAGTCCAAACACACCCTGCAATCAGTTCAAATGCATTAATAGGTAGGCAGGAGTTACATTTATCGGCTTACAGTGGAGAAAATAATGGTTTTTAAATATAACAAACATGAGACCCTTGAAATGAAACAGGCAGTGAGATCAGGGTACCTAATGCACTGGCGCTGGGCACCACACATGAACCACCAGGACTGTGCAGGGCTCCGGGCGGCTGAAGACGGTGGCTGGGCCAGGCAGCCTAATGCCCACCGCATTTGTTTCAGCTAATCGAGTATTATGTGCACTCAATGGCCAAAATCTGAAAATCACTTTACCACTTCTGACATCAAGGCGCAGAGATTAAATATGTTTTTATTTGACACAAATTGAGTGATAACATCTAAATTACACACTGGAAAGCTGTGCAATTATCCCTCAAAACAGACGAGAGTTTAATTAAAAGCAGATGGAGAAACATCAGGATGTCAAGATAAATACCAAGGTGAACATATACCTTGATATGGGGACTAAAATATCTGACTACACAATATGGGGTTCTAATTCGACAATTTTTGTTAGTAGTCATGCCAAAAGGAATTAAAAAATAGTGCCCAATTGTTGAGAGGTTATGTTTGGGGAGGGGATTAAGGGCAAATATACACATTTTGATACATATTTCAATATCTGAATTTGGAAGAACATGCATTGCCTTTACACTTTAAAAACAAGTAAAATCAGATCAGTGATCAACCATGGTAAAGATAAACAAACGTGCATGACAATAACAAATTATGTGAACTGGTTTCACAGAGATCAAAATAAAATTCTAGTATTTTCTGACTTAGGTAATAAATATTAAGTTCAAAAATAGTAAAAGGGAATGAGATAAGCAAATGATGAAATGTGGACATTTTTCATTCAAGAACAGGGAAGCTCTTTGGACTAAAAAAGCCAAATCTTCATCTATAAAACTTTTATAGTAATTTTAATGGTAGTTAGCTTTTAAAAGCCACACAACACTATGAACCAAAAACAATGATAGAAAAAAAAAAAAAACCTCAAAAAGAAAAAAGCAATGATACAAAAAAGGACATCAGATTACATTGGGGAAAAGGTATTTTTAAATACAGTACATTTCCACAGAAAAAATTTACAAAGGGAGACTTTAATTCAATTTTTCTAATAAAAGTTTTTTCTCTTTATTAAAACATAAAACATCTTCTTGAACCTTTATATGTAAAACTTATCAAACTGGCAATTCCCTTAGGAACAGGTTAAACCAGATGAAATATGTAAAGCAATTTACATATAAGATTAAAAGGCTAACTTTGGTATTACTGCATAGGTTTAGTATTATTGCATAGGTTCCAAATTTATTACAAAACTACACTAACTTTTTAATTTGATTCGCAGTTGCCTCATCCTATATGCCATCTGGTGGAAGCACCACCTTGTGGCAAAAGAGTTCCTGAATTACAGAAGTCAAGGCTGGTTACCCAGAGACCAGAACACTTGAGCTTCAGACACTAGTGATATTCTCTTTCCTGACCTGTATAGAGATGCCATGAGTGCTCGCTTTATAATTATTTGTTAAACCACATGACTTTTCTGATATCGTATTTTGCAATTTTAAAAATTTAGGAAAAAAATGTTTTATATAAACCTGAATTAAGTCGTATGCCTAAATGCTTGAATTTTCTAAGCACCTTATACTTCCTAGAGTTACAATACATCCATGACCTTGTAAATGCACTATATTTTTATGATAGGAAACAAAACAAGAGCTATATTCTGTGGTAAATGGATTTTTTCCCTCAGAATGTTTTCATCGCTGCTCTCTCAGCCTCCAAGAGCAACTGCAAGTGATCTGAAATCTGGAATCACCTCTACACGGTAACATGTCTGAAACAGTCCAAAAATGACTAGATTGTGCTGCACTAATACAGGAATATCAAGGATATATGGCATAATTAACTATGCAATAATATTCAATCAAAAAGGGTTTTCTTTCATGTTTTATTTACCGTATCTCTAGGAAGTGACACACACACTAACCAGTTACAAAATGACCTGAATTAATTGAAAGGAATTTCACCTAACTGCTGCGGAATCACTTTTCCTAGGTGCTGACGGTATCACATTTAGAACCTCTTTCATGCTGTAGAGCAATTTTTAGAAAGGCAGAAAGCCGCCTTCTTTTTGATCAGGAATCCATCAGGATCCTTTAGGGCCACCTCCTTCACTAGGACCCTCACCTGTCAGGGGGTACACTGAGTCACCCAAAGGCTGCCCCCCAAACTGGCTTCCACTCCACCATGGAAAGCAGTGCTCACTCCTGATTTCATCTCCGCTTCATTCAAACACTGGGAATATGAAAGATGTGGGCAGATGTACCTGAGAATATTTTATAGGATGGTGCCTTCCCCTGAGTTAATGCTATCTGCTAAAATAATCATTATGCTCAAGTTAGGTATAGAAAATATTTTTAAAGAAACTCAGGATGTTATATCACAATTGTGGACTTAGGCCATTTCATAGGGCTATAATATAAAAGTGGCCTATGCAAATGTTCTTTTATAACTTGACACATTCCAGGTATGACTATGACAATAATCATGAATACTGCACAGTCAATTGTTTGTTTCTACATATAAAGAAGTATTAGGCTGTTGTACTGCCAAGATCTACAACTCTGACAGGCAGGGGCCTTCAAATATTCCTTCCTCATAGGTAAAAAGAAGGAATGCTCTCAGGGGTCTTTTAACAAAGTCTTACAATGGAGAATTATTTAACTGAAATCTAAACAGGTCAAATTCTTATGTCCCCCTGAATTCAAGTAAGAAAATATAAACTTAACATGAGCTGCTTCATTAAGATTTCTGGAACTGTCCATGCCTAACGTTAAGATAAAACATTAACTAGAAATCTTGGCATTGTTATTCCACAGAAGTTATATTTCAATATTTTAATGCAATAGGACCGTAAGGTTAAACTGACCACTCTTTCTAATAAAGTTCTTCAATATCGCTAAAAAAAATACATTCCTTTTCCTCCTAGAAATAGATAAGAGAGATACAGAAAGAAAACCATAATAATGGAGAGTAATGGAGAAGATTACTCTCACTCAATGGGAACATAATCTTTTAACTGAAATGAAAAACTCAATAATTCTGACAGTCTATTCAATTTTTTAATACTAGATTATATATAATTATTCAAAGGATAAGGTACATCTTAACCATTCAAAGTCTCCATGGCTAATACTATCACAAGCATTAGAAAGAGAACACACACTCAGCAACAACAGCGAACTTAGACCCAGTTTCCCATACATTGTTTGACCTTCAGGAAATCAAGAATCTCCAGGAATTATTAAAATTATAAAGAGGTTAAATTTTATAGGCTCCTTTTCTCAACTCTGGCTAAATGTAACCACATTAAAATACTGACACAGTCTTTGATTGTGAAGCAGAAATGCGTAATGGTATATTTATTTTAATCCTTGTTCAAGAATAATATTTAAGCAAAGCTCTGACTAAGGCATACACTAATATATGCCAGGAAAATAACAGCCTAAATTTTATACAGCATCTCCAGGTAGAGTTAACAATCAAGATTAAGAAATAAGGAAAGCCAATGCTATTTTACATGTTCTTGAGCTGGGAAGTCTCAAGTAATGGAGTCATGTTCAGGAAATGATACTGACAGAAATTCTTATACATTAGTTTCTGTATTAAGACAGTCTCTTTCAAATTCTTCAGTTAACAATAATACTTTAAGAATCTTCAACTGCAAACTCTTAGCTTGTAACATTTTGACTTTTCCTGAATCTCGAAAACTTCACAGTGCCATTAATTATCTTCTGTTTCTTCTTAAAGAACTAGTGTTCATAAAAGGATCATCATCATCGTCCTAAAATGACATACAAATGTTATTTTAGTAATTGTTCCACACTTCACGAAGATAAAACAGAAGTTCTATGGTCAAAACAATACCCCAAACAAAGAGTAATGTTCCCCTTTCACATGAGGTAGACTTTCATTTTTCTATTTCCTTATAAATATGGATAGTTTGTCAATTTATGTTTTCTCTTCTTCCCTTATTAGTAGCTATTTCACTGTCGAAATAAATTTAAATTTTTAGCAAGCATTCAGAGTAAAAGCTTATCCTGATATATGTGTGTATATATACCTACAATATTGACCATATATATTTCTCTCAACTATTAACCTTAGTAAAGGCATCGGCAAGCCAGAAAAACAAATACTCTTCATGTCATTTCTATTTGGTTTTTGAACAGGCTTTTTTCATTTACATTTTACTACTGGAGTATCTGATGTTCTAAAAACTCACAGCCAAAAAAATAATGAAGCCGGATGACCTTACTCAAATAGCTGTCATTCTTATTTCTCATCACTCATTTAGTGCTAGAAATAAATTGCTGCTCTCAGACTGATGCAAGAAGAAAACCTAGCAAAGTAATCTTTCAAATATTTTTTGGAAAAAGAAATAGATGGAATATTTCAGTTTCAGAGTTCCCATGCTGCTGGGCTATCGATTATATGCATCGTAAAAGAAGACAGGAATATCAGAAATTAACTAAGAATTTAATTAAAGAGAATGAAAAATAATGAGCCTCAGATAAGCCCAACTTATACAATTTGATAAGGATAACATTAAGTTGATTCTTTTGTATTCTACAACTAAATATTCAGAAGAAAAAGCAAATTTGTAAATTTTTGATTTATGTTTCTTTTAAGACATTAATAAAAAGGAATAATTACTTGGTGTTAGGCTTCACTGGTGGTATTAACATATTCAAATGTTAGCTAAATTAGCTATCTCTGATGAGAAATGGATGCCTTGAGAAATAAAAATTCACTTTCATTTATTGATTCATTTTCTGTGACTATTGAAGGCAGAACTTGTTAATAAAACAGATATAAATTCAAATTGAAGTTTGGTAGAATATTGTTAATAGTTCTTCTTTGCAGCAAACATAAACTATATAGATTTTAAATTCTAACACATAACCAACCACAGGAACGTTCAGATGCTTTGACATGAACGAGCAGTCAACCACCTCTCACTTTCCTCCTGGAGGCAACATGATAGTATTTAACTGGTAGACTGAGCTCGTGCTGTCATTCTCTACAGCCTGAGTTCTGGTGAGTCTTCTCCTCAAGCTGTTTCAAAACCACAATAGGGATACAGAGAACATGACAGCAGCAGTTGAAGCTCAAAATAAAATGCTTAAGTCACATACAGAGGTGAAACTGGAGGACATCATACTCAGTCAGATAAGCCAGTCACAAAAAAATACTGCATGATGCCACATTCATAGAGACAGAAAGCAGAATGCTGGTTGCCCGGGGCTGGAGGGGAAGGGGGAAGGAGAAAGGGGGAGTTGTTGTTCAATGGGCAGAGATGTTCAGTTTGGGAGGATGAAAAACTTCTGGAGCGCTGTTGCACAACAATGTGAATGTACTTCACACTAGTGAACTGTACATTTGAAAATGGTTAAGGTGGTAAAGCTTATGTTCAGTGTTTTTACTGCAATTAAATTGTTTAAGAATAAAAATAAATAAATAAAAGGGGTGACAGCTTAAGAGAAACACCTTCCAACAATTCAACAAAAACTAGCAAGGGCCACTCAAATGGCAACCATGGAAGAAAAAGGCCTTTTCAGTTAAGTTAAAGACTTTATAGTTTTCTGGTGCAGTTCAGGACACAGTCTTAAACTGGAGTTTCTTCCATATATCCCGCCATATGGCATTTCAGTCAAAATCTGAACATCTCATGACAAGCAAATCATCACCATGAAACATCTTACATATGAAATGTGTGAAGCATATAGTGAGTCCTTATATATTTTAAAAATCTGCAGGCCTTTTCCATCTGAGGTAGTTACACTGATGAGCACTCAAATAGATACTGCTTATTGACTCAACATTAACTATAGTGCAAAGGAAGGTAATCATTGACACCATGTTTAAAAATAATTTCTAGGGGCGGCTGGATAGCTCAGTTGGGAAGAGCACAAGCTCTGAACAACAGGGCTGCCGGTTCGATTCCCACATGGACCAGTAAGCTGCGCCCTATACAGCTTTAAAAAAAAAAAAGGAAGTAACTTAACAAAAAATAATTTCCAGCAACTAGCTTAGCAGTCCCTATTTAAATTTTATAAGCAGTTAAAAATTAAGATTTAACAATAGTACTTTATTACCTCATCTGATTCAAAATTGACCCCTTTAGCTATGTGGCTCTGGGACATGCTTTTGCTTGATGATGATGTGTTCGACCACCTGAAGCAAAAACAAGGAAAAAACAAAGAAAATTAACCACAGAATTCAGCAAAGGTACCTTTCATTCTAGTAGTAGCTATGAATAAAAATAACTATTGGGTCGTCGGAAAAGTCATGACACATGTTTGCGACAGATGGCACTAGTTCATTTTTGGAAGTACTAGAGTCATTCGCATCTATGTTATTGCTGTGTCATTTGACAGATGACAGTTCTAGCTTCATTCTAAAAAAAATTGAGCGATTTGGATGAGTTTTGGAGATTTTGCAAGAAGTTAAAGATGGAAGACCAAACTGCATTTTTGCCATATTTTATTGCTTTACTTCCATAAAGGGAAGAATGCACGTCAAGCTTGTGAAAAGTTGCATAAAGTTTATGGTGACAATGCTCTACAAGAACATCAGTGCCAACAATGGTTCACAAAATTCCGTGCTGGTGATTTTGATCTCAGCGATGCTCCTCGGTCAGGGAGGCCCACCGAGGTCGATGACAAAATAAAGGCATTGAATGAGTCAAACCCACGTTACACGACACGAGAGATTGCAGAAACATTGACCATCCATAATTCAAGCATTCACGACCACCTGAAGAAGCTGGGATACGTAAGCAAGCTCGATAACTGGGTTCCGCATGAACTCAAAGAACTTCATTTGACGGCGCGTATAAACATCTGCAATACGCTCATTAAATATGAGGAAAACAATCCTTTTTTGAAGCGACTGATAACTGGTGATGAAAAGTGGACTGTTGACAACAATGTGGTGTGCAAGCGGTCTTGGTCCCGACATGATGATTCGCCTCAAACAACATCGAAAGCAGACATTCATCAGAGGAAGGTTATGCTCTCAGTGTGGTGGGATTTTAAAGGTGTCGTGTTTTTTGAGCTCCTACCAAGGAACCAAACAATCAGTTCAAATGTTTACTGTCGGCAACTGGACAGTTTGAACGAATCCATCATCCAGAAATGTTCAGAGCTTGTTAATTGTAAAGGAGTTGTGTTCCATCGCGACAACGCAAGACCACACACAAGTTTGATCACCCATCAAAAATTATTGGAGCTTGAATGGATGTGTTGCCACACCCACCATACTCACCTGACGTTGCGCCGTCAGACTTCATATGTGCTAACTACCGCAATTATCCTCAACTATCTATCACAAATACACAAATGAACCTGGATCTGTGCCCATCTTGGTAATTTTCATTCCTACAAAGGCCAACACTGGTTTCAGCAATTCTATACTCTGATTTTTCTCATGTCTTTCTCGTTGCCTTTTCTGCTTTACCTAAGCTCTAAAGGTTGAAACCCCAGGATCAGAACATTAGCCCTCTTTTCTTTCCACAGCTCTTTCAAGGTGATCAATCCATTCCAATGGCTTTCAGTTATATGTTATTGAGATGTAAAATTATGTAGCAGTCAAATCTCTTAACTGAACTCTGGACTCATATATACAATCACCTAAAACTTCCCTTCATGTAAACTTCATAGGCATCTCAAACATTCCACTAATAAAGCAGAACTTTTGATAATCTGCCTATCAACCCCCTACAAAAATCTGTTTCTCTTCTTTTATGTCTTTCTATATGTATGGTACTCTCTAAGTGCTCAAGCAGGAAATGTGAAAATCAACTATGATCCCTCATTCTCCCTCACTCCAAATATTGAATCCATCCCCGACTTCTGTCACATCTACCTGAAAATATATCTTGACACTGTCTATTCTCTCCGTTTCCGCTGCTTCCACTCTGGTGCAAGCCTCCATCATCTTTCTTACTTGCCTACCTACCTGTCTTTCAGGTCAGCCCATTCCACTCCTGTCCTGCACCACAGGGATCCTTATAAATGTATATCAGATGGTGCCACTACTCTTCTCAAAATCCTTCCCTGGCTTCCCCTGTATTTATAACAAAGTCCAAATTCCTTACCCTGCTCACCTCTTCTTGCTTCATGATGTCCTCCTGCCTTTCCTTTTCTGTTTTCATCTATTTTCATCTCTAACCACCTCCTTTCCCACCATGCTTTAGTCACTGGCTCCTAAATTGCAGTAAGCTTATTTCTTGTTCAAGGGACTTTGCACGTGCTTTTCCCTGATTTTTGCAAGGCCAAGTCTGTCTTAGTAAAATTTCAGCTGAAATGTAACCTCCTCAGGGGCCTTCTCTGATCACCCTTTCAAAGCAGGTGTCAGGGGCCTGTGACATTGGTCTTTGTCGCTGCACCCTGATGATTTCCTTCAAGCATTCTGACCCATCTGTTGATCATCAGCTCAAATGTTACCCACCTTCCTTGTAAAACTTTCAATAATCTATCCTACAAAGGCATTGGCACTTCCCTTAGATTTCACTACATTTGAATACAATATTTACCTTGGTGGATTATTAGTGCTTTGATTAGAATACCACTAAAGTGTAAATTCCTGGGAGGAAGGAGACATTTCTTTCATATTTCTATCCCCAGCACCTAGCATAATGTTTAACTGAATAAAAAAAGTGGGTGTGGACCTATATTTACCAATTTTTCCAATATAGAACTTTAATTCACATAAAGAATATATTCTCAATGAGGTCAATATCACACCTATGGAATGAAAAATGGGGGGTGGGTGGGTGAAAAATCTTAGATATTATGACAGTTTTTGGACCTCCCAAGCTTGATCCTATCCAATAAAATTTCATTCTCTAACATTTAAGTTCTACATTAAATTTGTCATTTTAATTAATTTAAATCAAAATTAATTTTTATCCTTAGGTAATGAAAAGAGGTTAAGATAATGAAAAAAAGTTTGAGAAACACTGAGATAGAGCTTTTCCCTCATTCTCCCCCTTATTTCTGTAACTCCTGCTCATGTCATTAATCTCGGCTATCATTTGCCACCCCACTAATCCAAATAATGCCTATTTTTAAAATCTCAGGTAAACTTCACTCCTGGGTTAAAAGCATTTTCTCCTATGAGCCCACACTTCTTGCCTGTAAAGCACTCACACCTAGTCTGTATCACAAAATTTCACACATAATTATGTACTGATTCAATGTCCCTTAATGGATTGAAATGTGCTCCTCTCTTTTCTACAATTTATGTTGCCTGAAGGCAGTAATCATATTAAGACATTTATTATGCCCCCCCATCAGACCTAATATAATGCTCACACAGAAAATAAGTATTAACAAAAAGCTGTCGATCATTTTCTTAAGAAAAAATTTTCATTAACTGAGCTTTAGTTTAAGCAGTATTCACCTAAATTTTAACACACAAAAGAAAATGATTAATAGTAAATTAAGTCAAGATTTACAGTAATAGACAAAAACCAAAAAGGATAGAAAAAGCACGTAAGTACTTTGCAGAGAAATTACTAAGGCAGAGAAAGTTAACATGATCCTCTTTTTAATGTTTAGCAATAGCACCCTGTATAATCTAGTATATAAAAATATGATAAACAGAAGCTGAAATCAAGTATTAGCAAAACATAAAACTATTTTGTTAATTGGAGAGAACACAGTACTCCATCAAGAAATCACTGTGTAATAAAGACAAAAGAAAATGAATTACAGGTTATTTAAATTTTCAGTGAAAATACTTGTAGTTAAAGCTACATCGAATCTATGAAATAGTCCTTGGTCTACTTTTCACTTCTCTACATATTTGACTAGTTGACAATAAATCTGTTAAACATCTATGGCATAGAAATATGTGTAAGTAGAATTCAGGATAATTTTTAATTTTCTCAGATGTTTCTTTTTGCAGGAAGTCCCCGCACCTACCTTTGATCTGTTTTTGAAGTGGTAGGAGAAATGTCATCTTCCACATCTGACTCATCCACCTCAATCACCTAAGGCGGAAAAAAAAAAGGAGCAAATAGTTTTTGTAGCAATAGAACATTTACAGAAAAATGAATTAGATAACTGAACCTCAGAATTTTTTTTTTTAATATTAAAAAAAAGTAAAAAGTGGAGGCAGAAACCATGCAAGCAACAACTATTAAAACCAAAGCTCAGCTTGGCATCCCTCCAATGTCACCACTCCTCATTCACACATAGTATTCTACACAACATGTGTGACCTCACTTCTCTCCTGGCCACCATTGCAGACTGGGTACCTAAAGGAACATGCAATTGGATGGGAGAGTGACTCACATAGGGCTATATGCAGATAAGAGCCCTGTGGTTTTCTTGGATTCTAATGAGTAGTTAGATCATCAGTGTTCCATCTCCAATTTTAAATAAGGTGTAAGATTGTGTTGCAAGTGCTGGGTTCTATTTTTGTTACATTCATGGCTGTTAAATACCATTTGTTGGTTTTAAACCCCAGTATAGATATTTGTGATTCTTGATTCTAACATCAAAAACACTACTTATCCCTTTACATTTTGTGTTATCTTGACACTTAATACACACCTTTGCTAAGTCTTCATTTAACTGATAAAGTCAAGGATAAAATACTGAAAAAACAGCACCTGAGCCCTCTCTGCCTAGGTTGGCACTGAACTATTTATTAATCAAAAGTCATTAAGTGCAGTTGTACAAGCAGCTATGAACCTAGCCAATGTTCCCAAATTTTGTCCATAAAACAATCAAAAGATTATCTGTCGTATGTGCCCTTGACGGAATCAAATGCATTCGACATTCCCCTTATCTACCACTATGTAAGCTCAATTAAAAAAAAAGAAAAAAATTTACTTTGTCATGATCTGTTCTTTTTGAATTTATGTTCTTGCCTGATGACAGAAAAATCTAGAAGGGAAGCTACCGAGCAAACATGATGATAATTTTGTTTTCAGAAATGACGATCTTGAAGCATTAGCAGGCAATTAGTTGATTAGAAACAACGAAATGGAGCTCAGGATAAACATTAGCATGGGTATACCCTCATATAAGTGAATAATAGGAAGAAGAGAACAAAAGATTAAATTAAGAGAGACAAAAGAACAAGATTAGAATCAGAACAGAAAAGAAGTTCTCTCGAAGAAGGGGTGGTAAATTGTGTTACATACTTGAGACATCAAGAAGAATGAATTTGAGAAAAGGCTGCTAGGGCATTATGATATACAACGATTCTCAACTAGGGGTGATTTTTAACCCCCAGGCCCATCCAAGAAACATTCGGAAATGTCTGGAGACATTTTTGATTGTCAGAACTAGGGTGGGACTACTGGTATCTAGTTGGTAGAGGCCAAGAGGTTGCTGAACATCCTACAATGCACAGGACAGTCCCTCGCAACAAAGGCTTATGTGGTCTAAAATGTAACAGGGCTGCTGCTAAGAAACCTTCATATAGAGGGAGGAGGCTTGGGAGTAAGACACATGGGTTCTGAAAGTGAGGTTAACAGGACAGTCAAGTCCATATGGGACCCTTTGTGGAATCCAGGGGAAGAGCAGAAGGCCTGTGTTATAGCTAGAGCTGAACACAGATGTACTTAAAACTCCAACCTTGTAGTTCTTGATACAGCTTCAGCCATTAAGATACAAGCCAGGGTATTACGGGAATATACACAACAAAAGGAAGCCAGGCATAAAATAAAACCTCTGTATGTACTGAACTCCCATCTTCAATGTTAGCATTAAATGCATGGGCCCTTTTGGTTCAACACTGTTATCCTTAAAAATATTACCAAGTCCATACATTTATGGATTTCTAATCATGTGATCCTTATTTTAAAAAGAGAAAGAAAAAAATCCTAGAAGCCCTATCTAGATATTAGTGAAGTTCTCTCCAGCTATAATGTTCTACACTTTTTCTTCCTCTATTTAATTTTAGATCAAAGAATAGACAAATCATAATGCAGATAACATAAATTATTAAAACACAACTATAAAGCTTTTTTTCTTACCTCTGAATAATTCTTAGTAGCAACATTTTGGGAGGGCTGCTGTCTTGTAGATTTAAAGGCTATAATGAAAGATGAAATATCCGTTATGTTGTTCTTAAAATAACTTAGAAAATTTGCACATTTCTTTAGCTGAAGATTTTCAAAGTCATATCCACAAAAGCCCATCATGACTAATTATAAAACCATTTACATTTTTTTAAATCTGAAGGGAGATGCAATTATATGTTCAAATAAACCAATGCCTAGCTGCCAGTTTCATATGATTTCTTGGCTTATTCAGATACAGTAACAAACCGTGTTCATAAATATACCTACACTAAAAATATTTTATAGAAAAATACCTGAAGGATAAAATCTGATAACCTAATGGACTGAACTCCAAATATATTGAAGGTAGTCTTCCTTCTCTTTTAGTTGGCAATACTCTTCCCTGTGGCTACGTTAAGAGCTATATGGTTCCAATAAGAGCTTTCCTTTTTCTTTCTTTTTTTTTTTTAGCTGAGCCATCCTGCCACCTGTTGGCAGCTCAGCAGCAGCTCAGCTCGGGCCAGGAATTGAACCGGCGACCCTGTTGCTCAGAGCTCGCACTCTTGAGCGAGCTCTTAACCAGCTTAGCCACTCGGCCTGTCCCCCAATAAGAACTATCTTATTCTCCCCTATTTTCTTAACCACATTCAGTACCTAATAGTCTAGAGGCAAATTCTAAAAAACACCATACCTTTTATTCCATCGTAAAACTCTCTTTTGAACCCTCACTTTTAAAATTTTATAAACATGATTAGAAACATGAAGTTTAGTTAACCATTTATTTTTCCTGAGCCCAAAAAACTGTGGAATTGCGATTTTGTTTATATTGGGTTGTCAGAAAAGTCATGATGCATGTTTGCGACAGATGGCACTAGTTCATTTTTGGAAGTATTAGAGTCATTCGCATCTATGTTATTGCTATGTCATTTGACAGATGACAGTTCTAGCTTCATTCTAAAAATTAATTGATTGATTTGATCGAATTTTGGAGATTTTACAGTAAGTTGAAGATGGAAGACCAAACTGTGCATTTTTGCCATATTTTACTGTTTTACTTCCATAAAGGGAAGAACGCGCGTCAAGCTTGTGAAAAGTTGCATAAAGTTTATGGTGACAATGCTCTACAAGAACATCAGTGCCAACAATGGTTCACAAAATTCCGTGCTGGTGATTTTGATCTCAGCGATGCTCCTCGGTCAGGGAGGCCCACCGAGGTCGATGACAACAAAATAAAGGC